TCCCTGTCTGCTCATCCACCTGCCACTCACTGATTTTTATTATCTTATCACACGAACATGGCCCAAATATACACACATATGGCACACAAACTGGCCGTTAACAGATGTAAACATTGTTTTCACTTAAAAGTAACTCAATTTCTGAAAATTCATTAAGCAATTTAGAGAGTTGCGAGCTAGAAAGTTGTTGTTTTGAATATTGATTGTTACAGATAATTACAGCCATGCTGATATCCAGACCGACAGAGCAATTGGGAGTATGACACTGCTTTTTTACAATTCAAAGAAAGCCAATGAATGCATAATTAATTGACTGATTAATCTGTGTATTGAATGAATAGGCTTCATGAATAATTCAGTGACTCACTCATTAAGACATTTTGTTCTTGAATGAATCTGTTTTTGACCTAATCGAGTGAGTCAATAATTCAGTAATTCACTCGGAAAGAAATGTTTCATTCTTGTATGAATCTGTGTTTTTGATCAAATCATTTGAATTAATGATTCAGTGACTCACTCTTGAAGACATGTTTTGTTCCTGAATCAATCAGAATTTTTGAACAAATCAGTTGAGTAATGATTCAATGACTCACTCATAAAGACATGTTTTGTTCCTGAATGAATCAGTTTGAGACAAATAAGTTGAAAGAATGATTCAGTGACTTTCTAATGAAAAACTGTAGACATGACTGGTGTACTGATATATGCTGTATATGTATATATATATATATATATTTGGTAGCTAGGGCTGCACGATTAATCGAATGTGATTGTCATGCGTATCTTGTCAGTAAAGCCGGTTCTGTGATTAGTAGTAAATCTCCAGCATGTGCTTTCAGATGGAGCAGCAACTCCATTTGAAAGCACGTGAAAATACCACATTTAATAACATGTTTTTACGCCAAACTCACTTCATAACATCAGTCGAGTGTTCGAAATAAATCCTTCTTGTGAGATGATCAGAATAAGGCACGCAACATATTTCATAGTATTCTAAGCAGTGATAAAGGCTATGTCGATTAGCATTGCATTATTATATACATTATTATGATAAAAATTATAATAAGATGAACTCAGATTAACCATATATTGTCATAGTCGTGTGTTTATTAGTCAATGAATGAAAGCAGTTAAATCTTCTGTTTATTCAGCAACTGCTATAGGCATTTCCTGGGTTTCTTCTGCGAGGCGTATTTGGAGTTTCCGCACGAGAATGCCCTCTGGCCTTCGGATGGAGATTTACTGCTGATCACAGAACCGTGCTTCACTGAAAGATATGCATGACAATCACAGCTTCTGTTGAATCGCGATTTATCGCCTTTGCGATTTAATTTTGATTAATTGTGCACCCCTATTGGTAGCTGAAAACAGGATGGATAATGCCGCATCAACCAGTCATCAAAAAATAAAACATGATTTTATGATTTTTTATAATGATGGAATGACTGTACATCAATTGCAAAACAGTTATGGAACTCTTGATATAATAAATCAAAGGAAGCTTTTTCAAAGCAATTACATTTAGCTCAAATATTCTCCCATGAGTACAAGAAATCCATTATACAATTAATTTCGTTTTTTAATTTGTAATCAAACACAGATTCTCAAAGGCCTTCATTAGTTCAGTGAAGAGAAGCAAGTGATTGTTGAAGGTTATGAGACGTGTTTTTCACAGATATGTTTAGGTACAGTAGTCAGCTTTAATTGCAAAAAAATTAGCTTTAATAGAAAAAAGAGAGATGGAGGGAGGGCGACTGCTCATATGTAAAATAATTTCTCTTTTGCATCCTCTCCCCATCCCCAATTTGATACTTCCTGTGGTGCCAGGTGGGCCAGCTAAACCTGGCATTTACCAGGGAAATGTAAAACAGCGTGAAATGTTACTCCATACCAGCTTGGCTGGATACAGAGGCTTTAGAAAATGTGAGCATGCTGGGCAGACGCTCGGCATTCATGCGCTCCAGACACTCACATGATGAAGAACTAGGAAAAGCCCAGGAAAAGGTCACTCATTTCAACCACTGACTATTGTTTAGATCGGCACGATTACAAATGTTATTCCATTAAATTGCATGATATTTGCTGTCAAAGGGGAAAAAAATACAATTCTCTGCAGTCTTTTATCAGACTCAATCTCAGTCAGCAGTGAGGATCACTGTCGAATGAGGACAGTCTGGTTTTATTTATTACCCACAGAGAAATATTGAAGTTGTGCTGATAACTAATAATATCATGAACAGTTCACACTCTCACCTACACATTTAATATGAAGGCATCTGCTACACCCGAGACAACCATATAGGAGTCATAAAATATGTTATCCCTTTTTCTTATTCATGTTGAATCTCTTTTTGATCACAGTAAACACACTAAGCCTTTTCCAAAGCTTGCTGCTGAGTCTATTGGCCACAAATCCCTTTACACAGACTTCTGTATTTGCCTGTATTCCTTTTCCTGGTTGAATGATAGCTGGTTATAGAGCATTTTTTATCACAAGTATGTCACTGATTTTTGCTAACAATGTGATGCTAAAGTAAGTAGAAGAAGTAGAAGAAGAGTAATATTCTCAAACTCACATTGCTCTCCTTCAAGGATATATTGTGTCACAGGGTGACCCAGAGGAAAAGTTTTATTGCTCAGAAGTTGCTCTTTGTTATCTCAGGAGACTTTTTAGAGTTCTCACTGTTGTATAGGTATTGTATAGGTCTCAGTTTGGTCCCACATTTATCCTAAAATTCCTTAGGAAAAAAAAACATTTTTACAGATAGTACGGGTATAGAGCTATAAAACATGTAGTAACTAACTTTATTCAAAAATATATACCATCTGACTACATTAAGTTGCACCATGAAAAAAAAAAACATTTGGTCCTCTTCAGGAACTCGAGCTGCGTCGGAGAATGCTTCGGGAACAC